AAGACGCCGCCCCCGTCCCGCCCCGCCCCTCAGGTGCGCGCTTCCGCCACACGGCGCCCTCATATGAAGGGTTGGGAGGGAGCGGCGCTCGAGTGACCTTTTCCGAGTTTTACTGACGGAAGATTTTTTCCACATTGATTTTTGAAAGCGCAGCAAATTTTTAAACGTGAAATGTGTTTGAGCCAATTGCAAAATTTTACAACAAAGAGCTTTATTTCTTTACGACTAGGTTTTGAATAAAATGCATTAGAAGATATGGAGTAGCTCTCGAAAACATACTCCTCATATAATAACGAATGAAGATCTAAATTTATATTTTGCATTACTCGCAATTAATAACTCAATAAGAGAAAAAGTAGTTTTCTAGGCGCAATAAATTATAAATGTTACAACGTGTCCATTTTAAAAATAAAATTAACTAAAATAATTACACATTTATAAGCAATGGAAGTGTGTTATAACAAATCTGAATTACTAATTTTAGCCCTTATTTAACGAATAAAATTAACAATACCGTTTAAAAATTGTTTGGTTCACTAGTACACGTTATAAAGAATAGGAATACAATTTATAAATCAATATATAAATTTAAGAAATGTAAATGAATGGAAAAGTAAGAAGCCAGCCAGATGGCAGAAAACATGACCGAAAAGATAGGTACGAAAATTATTTGCTTACGTTTTTTTCTTGTTCCATGAATTACAAACTTATCGCAGTAATTTGTGACTACCTGCGTTCTGCGCTGACATCATTATCAAATTCATTGACTCTGGAACCTAGAAATGTAATTTTTAGTTATTCACTTCCTGTACGTGACCCCGAAAAATCAAGTTTTTACGGTAGTACGTTTCGTAAATAACAATCTATTATATGGAGTTAAAATAGATGTAACATGAAGTGTGTACTTTCCTTTCGATTCTAAGACACAGAGCGTAAAAACTACACACACACAAAGAAAAATAGGCTATATATCTCAAGAAAAGTACAATTCACTTCACTTGTTACTCCCTTTCTTTAGAGCTGCGAGATTTACGCCATAACACCGTCTTTTCCGCCTACACCTTAATTTGAAAGTCTCAGGCGATGGAAATAGGCTTCACGAATCATGCAAGCCATCTCGCGAACAGACGGGATTCGTCACGCGAAATTCTTTCAGAGTATTTTAAGGAAAAGAGGTAGATCCTAAAGGGATACTATACTTTCGCTACGTTGGAAATAGTTTGAGTACTTGCCAAATTCAATGTAAACATAGCTGGGTGTACAGAGAGAGACTATCTTCAGTTACTTAACGTACCTATTTGAATACAAATATTCATTTTTGATTCTTTCATCACCCAGAAGATTCTCTTTTAAAATATCCATCATTGTACATAAAAGGCAAATCAATTTCCTCCCTAAGACTCAGCATTGGTTATCATTGGGTTCATGGGGGCAAATGATCAGGGTCTCGTGCCCACCGGCGCCGTGGCACGCGCGGGAACCATTTGGCGCAATCACCCGCCAGGAGGCAACATGTCCCCCCGTCTGGGCGGGCGCGCAACGACTCCAACATCCACTGCACAGGAAGCGTAAATCGCACACCAGGAGACAAATACGTCCAGAGAGATCGCATTCCACAGAAACAAGACAAGATGTTATGTACAAGATAGTAACACGGTGAGACAGAAGGAGACAGAGACAGCACACGTGGTAAAGGATACGAGGTAGAGAAAGACAGAGAGTGAGAGTGTGTGAGAGAGAGGGGGTAGATGCGGGGGAACATTCTCAGAAACAAGCGGCGGCGGCGGCGAGGCGCCAAGCACGCGGCGGAGCGCGCGCGAGGCTGGTCAGCCACCGGCCGCCAGGGGGCACAAGCAGCAAGACAGACGCAGCAGGAACTTACGTGGGACGCAAACAACTCGAAATCCATGTCCCGCAAAGCGTTCGCTAAAGAAGCGTGTGCGCGAGAACGTGCGAGAGCGAAAGGCAGACAGCGGGGAAGCGTCGGCGGTGGCGGCGGCGGCGGCGGCGGCGGCGGCACGGCCGAGGCGGCCGAGCTCGCTTCTTTGCTTGCTGGAGGCGGCGGGCTGCGCTCGAGGAGGCGCCGGCGGCGGTGGTCCGTCGTGTGGTTAGGCGGGTGCTCCGCTGACGGACTCCTAGGCGGGTTGCCGCCTGTTTCTAACCGGCCTAAGAATAATTACGACGGCGACGCTTGTAGTTTACTGCTTGGCGCAGGGTTCACATTATAAACAACATGCTTAGCATCCTCGATGCAGCGACGGCCTAACGCGCCGGACGATTAGGAACGCTCCTTGCGGACGCGTGGGGGAGGCTCGGCGCCCGACATGCGGAATGCCTCCGGCGCGCTTCGTCGATTGCACGTGTGGACGTGAATGCGACGAAGGTGGCTCCTGGAAGAGAGAGTCAACGCTGGGGAGGAGCTACCAGCCCACTCGGAATAACCTCTTTGCGATGACAGTTATGAATCGCCGCTGCATCTTTTCTCTTTCACTCATTCCATAATTTCTCCTTTGTCATTCACGCTGACGTTTTGCCGATCATTTAATAGATTTGTCAAATTCAATAAATACTCAAATTTTGCTTTCGGATTTATGTTTTCTAATAATTTTCATTCAATTCACAATTTCAACACACATTTTAAATCACAGAAAGGTATAACTACATCATAACTATTGAAACTGGAAACTGCTTCCGTCCGCCATTGAAATAAAGTAATAAAAACAATGTTTCATGCCTTTTCAAATTATCTACAAATCCAAATAAATGTCGTACTAATATCGAGAGCCTCGACGAGTCAAGGTCGTACGAGGCCCCGGCGGACGAGAGCAGTCGGACCAGAGCAAGGGCTGGGGTGGTTACCTGTGTCTGCAGTAGCAGCATACTTGAAGCCACCGTGAAGGGCGTGGATCCGGGTGCGACACGACTCAAAGCGAGTTCGCTGGGCGCGGTCACCTCCTTGGGCAGCTCGGGGCCTGCGGACAAACAACCCCGGTTCACGGCGGCTGTTCGCAGGCGCTAGGGTTCTGCGGGACAGGGAGAAGGAGGAGGCGGTGACCCAGTGCAGTACTATACGTCAGGGTATGATCGGAGATCGACGGAGGCGGTTCATTCAGAAAAAAAGAACACGTTTCAGGAATCTGATGAGAGGAAGGAATGAGTTTACGTTACAGGCGCCACTAGCCAGTCGGTGGGATACGAACATGCTAATATATTTCAAAAGAGTGAACAAATAGTGCTTTTCTGTAAACATCTGTTCGGTTGCAGTTGTCGTGCAAGTTGAGTGTGGACAGACCTGAATAATACCAGGCGACAAATCATAGGACGCAAAGCTCCTTGGGTTGACATAATGAATATAATAAGCCGGCTGCGGATCAAAGAAATAAATTGTGATAAGTATGTCAGCTGGCTCGCCTTGGGTTTGTTTAACCTCACTCAGAGAGAACATTTTTTTAAAAAATATTTCCCACATCTGCCCTTGCAGATATTTATTCTTATAGCGGCCAGGCATTTAAAACAAGTAGACCCTTACGCCTCTCAGGGAGCGTACCGCCGAGGTCCATACGATTACAGGAACGGCTTTTGCGATAAGAACAAAAGTGGCTCTGTGCGCAGAGCACAACAGGCAGCATCAAACCGCGGACCGCGACATACCGTGAGCACTCGTCCAAGGAATAATCTCTCCGCTGTCTCGTTAAGACGCGGAGCTTATTGGCGAGAGGTAGTGTATCACGAACAGGATGAGAGCTCAAGGAATGTAGTCTGCCCCGCGTGGACGGCGGCGGCGGGAGTCTATCTCTGGTAGAGAGAGGCACCTCGGGCGGCGCGGAGGTTAAGGCCTAGGGTCACGGGAATCAACGCCTGAGAGAGCCTCGCAGCCTAACGGTGAGAGGGATCGCGCCACACGAGGAAGCTCGGCGTAAAACCACATGGGTGGTTGAGGGGCCTCTGAAGGAGTCCGTGAAGTTTATGGGTGTGTTGCTTCACGACGTCTACATCCGGTTATCACCGACCGGATCAATACCTCGAGTGACTAAGATATCTAGTTGATGTGACTGATTGCTGAGATCATTGGAACGCGCCTTTTCCCCAGAAAAGTTCACAACCCTGCGGTGATCACTGACAGGTAAACAGCTTACCAATTCACCACTTACGACTCGCTAACTTCCAACACTCAAAGGTTCCTGAACAATCATCCCCCCAACCATTAGCAGCCGTCTCACCCAATAATTTGCTAAACTTTAATCACATCAAGAGAGATTACCGGGCCCTTCCAGCACCATGCGATGTCCCAGATATTCACCCATTCAAATCCAACCTTGAAAACCTATCCTTACTCTTTCGGATCCAGCGGCCAACCTCGATGAAAACTACACAGTTCCTGAACTCATTCACACCCCCACCCGAGGACCGCCGCGCCCAACGCAAACGCGACGAAGGCGTGCTGGCCGCGACGTGGGTGGCGTCAGAGCCGTATTCGGGGCGGCGTGACCGGCGGGTCGCCCGTGCGGGCGCGCGCTGGGCTCCCTGGCGGGCCGCCCGCTGCGCCGCCCCGCCCCGCCCGCTCCCGCGAGCTCAGGAGCAGGAAGGTCGTCAAGCCCCCCACGCGATCGGTTCCGTTAACGGTCGCACTGTGTCTTTCCCTGGTGCTCGTAGATGCGGCTGCCGCCGCCGTGTTTCGTTTTCGGCTGTCACTTCTCCACGATATTTCCGTATATCGCGAAAACGTAATCGTTAACCCGCCAAAAACCGACGGCGCGCGTGGTATAACATTAAGAAGCATCCTATTCTCGGGGGGGACGAAAAACAAACAAACAAACGAGAAGAACCGCAATCGAACGTCGTGTATCTAGATGGTCTCTTCTCGTGCGCACAGAGACGGCGCAGTAGACCATCTCACAGGGAAACTACGTGAGTCACGCAAGGACAAATAGAGAAATATTCTTGGCTATTTACATTTAATATATTACGCGTACCGTTGCGGGTCCTACATCAACGCGTCTTGTCGGTTCCCGACGCAGCCAGTGGCGATTTCTCACCGTCTCTCCGCGTTTGAGGGATGTCCGTGTGGAGGTCGCGCGGTCAGGTCAGGAGGGAGGGGGGAGGGAGGGGCGTGCGCCGTAGAC